ACGGTGAATGGATGTGAAAGGAGTTATTGACTCAACAATACATGAGCAAAATGCACTTAACATTTCTAAGGTTTGGCTTGTTCACGTGAGTTGGTCATAAAATTTATCGAAACATTCAGATCTTATCATATATCTACTCCTACAAATTGTGTAGAAACTGCCTACCAACTGTTGTTTTTTGCTAGAGGAGTAAGCTATTTGGATTTGTTGGTAAACATTTTCGAAGTTCAAAGAATGATAACTCTTGCAAATATAGGTTATCATGAATTTGGCTATTTGTTTTAGGTATTTTTGTTATAAAGCTCTTCAACTGTTTCGGTACTTATACATCCCTCGGATTTCAAATTTTTGGCATTGAGCGTTCCTGATGAAGGTAAATCCAGAAAAGCGCTTCGGACGCATGAAGTTATTAAACGTGTTGTTTTCAACTTTTTATCATTACATCGTATTAGGCCGATGCACAAAATTTCATTGAAGTTTGACCAAGAGACCGACATTATTCAACCCTTTAAGACAGTACCAATGCATGTTGGATGAAGTTGAAGACAAAGAACATTTTATACGTGCATTACCCTTTTAGGGAGCTACCATTTGATTTTTATGGGGGAATCTCTGCCCTGCCTTTTTATTTTTCACTCTATTCGGTCCTGCCTTTTTTTTATTAGTTTATCCTGATTTTTTTACATAAATTGGCATCCTGCCTTTTTTTTTTGCAAAGTTGCTCATCCTGCCTTTTTTTTTACTCAAAACTCCTGTCCTGCATTTTTTTCAAATTTCATCCTAGCCCCCCTATAAAAATCAAATGGTAGCTCCCTTATAAACTCTCGAGAAAAGAACTCTATGATATTGATTTGATAAGCTGTAAAACAAATCGAGATGTTTAAAATACAAGTGCCAATTTCAATTGGCTTTTTATTCAAGGAAACATAGAGGTATTGAAAATTATTAGAATTTATATTAACAATTGTTTTTAACTCAGGAAACTATTAATATAGTGTGGATATGTTTATATGTAACCCATTCGGGATATTTATATAATGTTTGCCTGTTAATATCATATATCATCTGTTTCATTACTGCTTTTTCACACATATGCTTATGACTCTGATCTGGCTGTGGCTTAATACCTTAAGATTTTGTTGATTATATTCATATTTATATATGATTGTCAAAATTATCTGTGTCAATTATAAAAAAATCATTGAATTAAATTACTTTGCTCGTCATGGGGCCTTTTAACATGTTTAATTGGAATAAAAATATCTTATCTTATATTATCTTATCTTATCTATACAGCAAGAAACTGCAGCATGAACAATTAGAATAAACTTTCTTGGCATTCCAATCGCTGACTGAATATATTCGAATTTGAAAAAAAAAAAACATAAAAACAAAAACAAAAAATGAACGTAAGGTTAATAAATTGACGTTGTCTTTATAATGGGTTTTTTGGTCTTTCGTGTTTCGGTAATTTGCTTATCAATGGTTTTTGTTTTAGTTCTTTTTCTCTCAATATTTTGGTCTCGAGTGTTGAAGGCCTCATTGTGATTTTAAGATGAGGATCAACAGTATAAATGCTGTTCCATTTTCTTTGACAATGGGAATGTTGTGTTAAAGTCAGACGCACCATATCCTTGCTTATTTACTTTAGATCATAACACATCTACCAAGTTGTTTTTTTCGGGCTATGAAATTATTCGACATGAGCCATTGTTCATTTCATAATGACGTTTACATAATAAATGAGGGTCCTGTATAAAGAATAATGGGGAAACAGAAAAGGAAACAGGGAATAAAAACGAACTAAAGAATATGAAGAAAAGAGAATAATGGGCTAAGTAATAAATAATGAAACATTTTAAAGGGTTCTATGGAACCCTGTGTCTTTCCTGCTATTGTTAATGTCTAAGTAAAAGAGTAATGTTGACTGCCAAAAACTAAGTCCATTTATCAGTGAAATACGGACAAATTTTAAATGATATTTTTTTTCTTTTTTTCCACTAGATGCTATATCTTAATATTGAAAAATAATCCGTTCAAGTTTCATAAAATTCCATGAACGTTCGAAAAGGTTATTTATGTCTAAAATATTTAATTCCAGACTGTTTCTAAATGTAAAATGCAAAAAAGACAACAGTCCGTTTATAACTAAAATACAGATAAATCAAAGACAAAATCAAAAATTTTGATCAGTTATTGATGTCTTAAATAGCTTTTAACCCATAAAATTGAGAATGGAAATGGGGAATATGTCAAAGAGACAACAACCCGACCAAAGAGCAGACAACAGCCGAAGGCCACCAATGGGTCTTCAATGCAGCGAGAAAATCCCGCACCCGGAGGTGGTCCTCAGCTGGCCCCTAAATAAAATTGTGTGCTAGTTCAGTGAAAATGGACGTCACACTTAACTCCAAAACATATAAATGAACTAAAATGAAAAAACATACAATACTAGCAAAGGCCAGAGGCTCCTGGCTTGGGAGAGGCGCAAAAATGCGGCGGGGTTAAACATGTTTTGTGAGATCCCAACCCTCCCCCTATACCTCTAGTCAATGTAGAAAAAAGAAACACATAGCAATACGCACAATAAAACTTAGTTTAAAAGAAGTCCGAGTCCGATGTCAGAATAGGTAACAAAAGAAACTAAGCAAAATGACAATGATACATAAATGAACAAAGGACTACTAGCAGTTACTGACATGCCAGCTCCAAACCTCAATTAAACTGATTGAAAGATTATGTCTTCATCATATGAAAATCAAGTACAATCCCTCCCGTTAGGGGTTTAGTATCATACCATAATAAAATATATGAGAAGAACATAACCCGTATCATGCCAACAACTATTTTTAGAATAAATGTGTTTATTTCCGATGCAAAGACCCTATGAGTGAATCAATATTAATACCAAAATATGCAATCCTTAATGACTTGACAACAGTATCGTAACTATATCCTTTCTGAATAAGTCTGTTTAAAGGTTTGGTTAGCTTTTGAGGTGAATGCCGACATTTTTGTGCTTTGTAAAGAATATTACCATAAAATATTGGATGTGAAATACCTGAACGTATAAGATGTCTGCATGTTTATTTATATTTACGAATGATGTCCTTGTACCGATGATAAAATTTAGTAAATGTTTTGACTAGTTTGTGATATCGAAAACCCTGGTGTAATCATTTTTCAGTAATACAGAGATTTCTTTCGTTGAAATCAAATACGTTGTTACATACACGAACGATCGAACAAGTTGAGATATATAAACACCATAAGATGGCGACAAGGGAACGTCACCATCTAAAAATGGATAATTAACAATAGGAAATGAAAAATCATCTCTTTTATCATAAATTTTGGTATTAAGTTTCCCGTTAAAGAAAAAGATATCAAGATCCAGGAAAGGGCAGTGTTCATTGTTATAGTATTAGCTTTATTTAAAGTCAGTTCGGCAGGATAAATCTCTTTAGTGTACATACTGAAGTCGTCATTATTGAGAGCCAATAGATCATCTAAATATCTAAAAGTGTTATTAAATTTTTGAATCAGATGTTATTTCGATGGGTCTTTGCTGATTTTAGTCATACATTGTAACTCATAACAATACAGAAACTGGTCCGCAATAAGTGGTGCACAGTTAGTCCCCATGGGAATTCCGATAACCTGACGATATAAGGAATCTCCATAGCAAACAAAAATGTTATATAGTAAAAATTCAAGGACAGTTATAGTATCAAAGCAGGTCTAATTGACATAGTTCTTTTGTTTGTTGTTACTAAAAAATGACCTAAAAGAGTTTGAACATATATATTCGCATTCCGACTTTTTAAATGCCCATTTAATCAGGTGTGCGAATTTTTTCTTAATAAGATTATGAGGCAACGTGGTATATAGGGTAGAAAAATCAAAACTTTGAACAGATTCGAAATCACCAATATAAGCATGTAATTTATCAAGTACTTCCAACGAATTTTTGACAGAATGTTTTACTGCAAAAAAGTAAAGTTCTTTTAATCAGAAAAGAACGGGAAAATAAAAAAAAATCTTATTAAACTTTTAATCGAAAAACTTTTTGATCATAAAAAGCTTATGTCCAAGTTTCATGCAAATTTACGAAGAAGGATCACAAAGCTATTGATGTTTAAAAAGAATGAACTTAATTCCACAGTCGTAATGTAGGATCGCCATGCCTCATAATAGGTTCGACTAACAAAAATGGCATGAAAATAAAGAATACAGAGATGAAGTCCCAATCCAGACACTCCTCTCCTTCTTGTGGCAGAGAAAACATTCGTTAAATTCGATCAATGTTTATATTAAGTTTAGTAAGAAGCCATGTTGAGATATGTAGAAAAAAAATATTGTGCCTACGATATTATAAATATTATCATTATCGATCAAATTTTACGAATGTTTTCTTCGACGCAAGAACTTTGATTGGCAAAAAAATAAGATAGCTTTATAATGGTGTAAGTAAACAATGACCTCTGTATGATAAATGTGTAGTGTATGTTCACTTGTGTTAATATGTCTTTTGATTGAGTTAAGCCATTTCAATTGATATTTTATAGTGTGTCTTTCTATGTTGTGATGTTACACTATTGTTTCGGATAAGGGTGAAGGTTTGATTCCATTAAAACGTTTAAACCCGCTGCAATTGTTTGCACCTGTCCTAAGTTAGGAATCTGAGATTAGTTAAGATTGTCGTTTGTTGATGTGGTTCATAAGTGTTTCTCGTTTCTCGTTTTTTATATAGATTAGACCGTTGGTTTTCCCGTTTGAATGGTTTTACACTAGTTATTTTAGGGGGCCCTTTATAGCTTGCTGTTCTGTGTGAGCCAAGGCTCCGTGTTGAAGACCGTACTTTGACCTATAATGGTTTACTTTTATAAATTGTGACCTGGATGGAGAGTTGTCTCATTGGCACTCATACTACATCTTCTTATATCTATAGATTAAAGTGTTCAACGGTAATAACTAACAAGAGAAATCAAAAGCCAAAATAAATTAACTAATTTATTATAAATTGTCAACACCTGATGTCTGGTCGCCAAATACCCCCTGAAAGTAAACAAAAAAAAAAGCCATTTGAATTGTGTAATAACATTTACAAATATATGAAGTCTTAAACATTATTTTTTGAGTTTAGAGTTACTTTTATTATAAATAGAAAATAATAATTAAAACAGAAAATAATTTGTACGTACTACACTTATTTTACAGCTTATTAGGTCTATAGAATAGAGATATTACATAACTGTCCTGTTAAAGAGATAACTATGCAATGGATTGTATAACAAGACAGTTTTGGCGTTCCATATATTGTGTATGAATGTAACATTCTGCTTGTTCGTTACTCTGGTATCTTTATTTTATAAATGTAATCACAGCAATGCTAGATTTTCAATAGTTCTTCCATATAAGATTTTAAGATTTTGAGACTTTTGTGAAACGTCTTCCATCGTAACTTCGTTAATATCAGATTCGCCTTTCAACGGAAAAATATCAATCTAGATATATATATGTTTTGTGTTTCTCTCGCAGTTTCCTATATATGATACATTATTTGAAAAGAAATCTCAAATATTCGACATATTTATGGCCTAGTGCACATATAATATTCTGGAAAAATAATTGATCTTACCTTTAAACACATTAGTTTTCATCAAATTTTCCTTAACTGATAATTCCTGTTAAGTTATTCATTACTGCTAAGAGCAAGCCCCAAGCAACTGAAATATAATATGATATTGATTGATATACGATTGCTTGATTGAGTGATTGAGTGATTGATTGATAGAATGAAGACAGCCAACACCTATAGTCGAAAGGTAATTAAAATTGAGAGAATGAAATAGTGAATCCGTGAGTGAGCGCAAATACTCTTGTAAGATAAGCTGTTTCTTCTCCGCTGGAGACACCCGTCGTGTTCCCAATGACAAGTAAAAATCAGGTGATAACTCGCAAATAATGGGCAAAATGTGCAGAATAAAGTTAAAAAAAAATAAAGAATAGAGAAAAATAGGCAAAAAAAAAAAATAAAGAATAGAAAATTATGGGATGCTAAAATATAAAAAAAAAGATAAAGAAGAATGGGGTGATAAAATATAGAAAATAGAGAATAACAGGCAAAATTTATAAAGAAAAGAGAAAATAGCCTAAGAAATTGAAATCTACAAAAATGAAGGACCCCCTCCTCATCCAGACCCTCTGGTATAGGTGTCAAACGAGAGAACATACAAACTATACTCCAGTAAACATTACACAGTAATGAAATAAAGATTGAACAATCCAACAAAAACCGGGGGATAAACTCAGGTTCTCAAAATGTTATATTAAATGATAATAATGTTAGTTGGAGGGAAATTATATCGATATGCATCCAAAATGAATTCTCAAGTCCAGAAGCTGGTCATGCAGCCAGTAGTTGCCGTATGTCACATCGTAATGTTCTTCGTTGTTTGGAGAATTCAGTTTTTGTGACAGTTTTGTGATTGTTTCTGTAAGATTTATTCACAAATTTTATAATAATCTTTACTGCAAAAAGTAAAATCCTGACGTGTTAAAATGCAAACATTGCATTAACATTAGAAACATACAACACATGAACAATGTATAGATTCTGGACGAATTAGAGTTTGATAATATTGTACAGACATCTGTGCATTGTTGAAGACCGTATGCTGACCTCTATGAGTCCTTTGATTATTTTTGTTACTGAGGTGCAGTTTTATTGCCGTATAACCCAAAGCCTCTTTTACTCACTGGTGTAAATATATCTAGATTACCTAACAAGAGGGTCATGATGTTGTTTACAGACTAAAAAAAAATTGCTAAAAAAGAGAAAAATGGGCAAAAACAAAAGAAAAATAGGCAAAAAATAGACAAAAGTAGAGAAGATAAAGGGGTCCTAAAATATAAAGAATAAATGATAAAGAGCAAAACATAACAAACACATATAGAGACAATAGCCTAATGAATTAAATACTGGTATTACAGAAATGAAGACCCTCTTACATCAATACAGTAGTTCCAAGCCTTCTAGCGGCAATACCGTAGTTGCAGAATTTTCTTATTTGTCTTTATTTAAGAATTCAGCGCTTCTTTTTGTAATTTTATTGTGGTGTAAATGCGTTGACCGAGCCACATTTTCTTTAAAGCACTGAAGCTCTTCATTCTAAAATTCTGCTCACAATCAACGCCTTAACAACCCTATAAAATTACAAAAAATCAGCATACACGAATGTAATTACATATTGCTAGTATTTTTAACATTGAAAGATTTAAAACAAACATGAGGGTGTGGATGATGTTTTACAGAATAAAGGACAAAAACTATGAAGAATAAAGAAAAATGGACCAAACAAATAGAGAATAGATAATAATGAGGTGCCAAAATATAAAGAATAAAGTAAAATGGCTTAAAAAATTAAAGAATACAAAAATGAAGGACCCCCCCCCCCCCCCCAACCAGACCCTCAAACATATTTAAAATTGTCACATAAATAAAGGATTAGGGTCCTACTCATTCAGTACTAATATTTTGTTTCATATGTTAATAATTTACATTATTTCACAGAACTAATATGATCTTAAAAAAGATAAATAAAAGTAACTTACAAAGATTTGCAATCATTGCTCTGTTGTTTTCTGCCTGGATTTCTTGCAGTAGTGGTCCGATAACGCTTGGTCTTGATCTGCTCTGGACGGGGTACGGATAGTAAACAGAATTCATTGAATAGCCACCCATGCCACCATAACCGCCGGCACCACCGACACTTTTACCACCGCCACCGAAACCTGCTTGTGCATTTACATTCACCAAAACTATTGCAACAATACACGGGAGAACTAGGAGCAGCAGTTGTTTCATGTTGGTAATGAATGTGAATCCCCTATTTACAAAGACCTTTCTGACTGGGAGATTGTCGGAATTAAACCCGTATTCGGTTTTTATACTGCAATCAGTCGTTACGCCACTCGTTAAACGTCAATGCTTTAGAATAAGGCAAACAGTTTTTACCTTCGGGTACTTCATGACAACTAGGTTCTCGTGTTGTGTAACCGACTTGGATATCATGTAGGTGAAAAGTTGACTAAGGAACATTGTCATAATGATGATGAATTATAAGAATATTTTCGTGTTTAAAGTTACACCTTCAAATATTAGTAACATTTATTTCACTGAACTAAAAACATAAGATTTATTGGTTTATTCACGGGCTTCTTAACAGTTATGGATCTAAAATTCTAAAATTACAGAATTATAACAGTCTAGATCAAATAAAAAGCTTGTATATATATCATTTAATTGTACTTATTACCGTAATTAAAAGTGAAATGTCAATACAAAAAACTATTTTTTATTGGAGCGTATATATGAAAGACAGATCTTATTTCGGTAGTAGCCGTAACTTATTTTTGTAGTCGAAATTTCCACATTGCAAATCTGAAAATTGTTACTTTAATTTGCAGTTTTAAACCTTGAAATCTTAACTTTTATCCGAAATTCTATATTTTTTAAATCTTGAAATGTCGACTCAAAAAACTCAATTATTTAAATAATAAAAAAAATAAATGAAGAATGTGTCCATGATGATGCCCCCACTTGCGTATAACGTTATAAAGGGACATAACTAGAGAGCTGTAAAAGTGACGCCACCCAAATTCGAACTCGATCTGTGTTTTATGATATAAAACATTGTGTACAAATGCCATAACATGAGATTGGTGTACTATGGGGGCCTCGGTTGGTCAAAGTTGATCCCGACTTTGACCTGGAGATCAATCTACTGATATATCTTCGGTTTGTCTGTTTCCGCCGAGCAGCCCGGTGGTTCTCTCCACCATAATAACAGATTCTGCCCGGTGTCCTAACACTCCCTGGTGTTGGGGTGGGGATTGTCCTTGTAAATATTGAACATTGTAAATACGTTAGTGACACGTCTCCATTAATCCCGATAGGGAGTGTACACGGACTCCACTGTACCCTCGCAGCTCTCAAGGGGTGCTCCGTAAACGGAAGGATCTACGTACATACATACATACATACATGAGGCGAACTAAAGTTAGAGAACGGAAACAAAAAATTCAGCTTTTTTTTTCATTTATATACGGGCATAACTCTAGAACGATGAAAGTGACGCCGCCCAAATTCGAACTTGATCTGTGTTTTGTGGTAATAAGCCTTGTGTATATGTGTCATAAAATTCGGGTGAGGCAAACTAAAGTTAGAGAATGGAAACCGATTTTTGGACCTATTACGTACGGACGTACGGACGGACCTACATATAGACAAGGGTAGCACTTAATGCCCCCTCCAACGCGGCGGGGGCATAAAACTAGGAACTGCCGACTTAATTGCTGTTTTTCGTGCCAAGTATTTGATTTTTCAATACAACACTACTGAGTGTCTGGTGACTCTTTTCTCTATTCTTAAATTTTTTGGCATATATTTCTCTCTTCTTTTTTTGTTTGTTCATTTTTCTGTATTCCTGGTCCATTATTCTTTATTCTATAAAACCCCATCCAGTCCCTCACTACTGGTCTCAAGCCACATTTAAAGTCTGGAAAGATATAGGATATAGGGTGGTATTTATGAAATAATATGGGAAATGCCCATAATTATGGAAAAAAATAATGCTGATCTTCGTCTTGAAGATAGTTGACATGCAAGTCTTAAAAAACTGACTTATTCGTAAAGATCCACTTAAATCCCATTTAATTCATAAATTTAAAAACACTTACCGTTACCTTGATGATATTTTTTCCTTACATAATCAAGAATTCTCTAATTAAACTGCGGAATTTTACCCATGGAAACTGACTTTTGATAAATCTAATATAATCTGCAATAGTTGACCATTTCTTGATTTTGATATTTCAGTCTCATACGAGAAACTCTATACAAATGTTTATGACAAAGAAGACGTCCCCCTTTTTTGACGGTGATGTAACTTCGGCCCCGTCTTACGGGATGCAAGTCTGAATGGAAATTACTTCCAAACTAGTTCGCTATGTCAGCCTATACCCGTGTTTGTAGTGACTTCTTAGATTTTAATGACCGTACACATTTGTAATATAAGAATAGCTGGTAAATTATGAAGTCAGTGATTTTATTATCACAAATTTCTGTAAATCTTTACTTAATTCTTTCATAGATACACATACATGCTTCTAAAATGTAAGCTGTAAACAAAAATATTCGGACTTCATCATCTTCACCAAGGAAAACAAATTTCTTTCTCCCCCGAAAATCAAATAGTCCGTGCCTAAAGGTAATCAATTCAACACTTTAGTAAGAAACCACATCAATAGTTCAATGAAGGTTAAAAAACATTTATTCTCATAGTTTTTTCCTTTTAATTTTTATTTGGAAAATATTGATTGACCGGTACATGCATATGCATTCAGAGAATGTTTTTAATGCATTCTAGTACGCAGTACTGTTTTATGTTGTTTTCCTCAACAATGAATGGTGTCTGTGTGTGTATTGACTTTTGGCCTACCTGGTTTGAAATATAGGTGTGCAGATGCTATTGCATCAAAAATAATTACTAAAGCTGTGAAATATTGTTTTACATACACTATAGTCAGTGGGGAATATGCATTTTTCTAAATGCCCACGAATGGCATGTGCATATAGTTTGAAAGTTGTTTTTGTTATATTAGATTTTTAGACTTTAATAACATATTAACAATCCCGATTTTACTGCCCCAGATGCGTATTTCGACAATAATGTCTCTTTAGTCATGCTTGATGCCAAAACGTTAGAAAGTCCTAAACCTAATACAAATTTTGAAGAATTGATACAACCAAAGGGACCAAAAGTAAACCAAAAACCCGGACAATGAATCAGAGATATGCATTAAACGCTTTTTTTTAATAAATTCTTTGTTTAATAGATATGTAGCTTAAAACTTAAGTAGTGACCCATTATTATTGCAAAATGGTAATATAAGTGGGCTCTGCAATTGAACCACTACAGAGAGTGGCCATAGCAAAATCCATAATGACTGTAGTGCAAAGTCTTACAATACCGCACTTTTGAGAGTGGCCGGGTACAGTGGCATGGTTCCTCGTGCGGTGGTGAGGTAAAAGTCTTTCACAGCACCACACCTTTGAGACTGGATCACAGAGTTCTTCAAAAGTGGTGGTCCGAAAGTTCTGGCCACCAAAATTTTGCAAAGGACCAACACAATTTTGGTGTTTTACAAAAGAAATAAAAGTTAGTACCAGCAGATTTTCTTCAAGGACCACAAGGGAAAAAGATTTCGAGAACGGTCAGGGATCATTGGAATACTTTGTTACTGCCCTTTGTCCCTGTCCTGCTTTTGTAGAAGAAAATAAAATATGATGTGGAATCATTTGTTAATTGCAGTATTAATTTTTATGACTTTTTCTAGGTTAATCCTCATCTGAAAGGCTCAGCAACCATTTACAGAAGCTTCGAAAAACCTTAATGTTGATAATAATACTTTCATTCAAAAGCAATCCAGCTTAAAGAATACACATTTTTACAATGTATATTCAATGCATCAGTTTCATATCAATAAAAAATCATTAAACAATATATATACATGACAATAATCATATGATAAATAAAATTACATTTTACGTATTTTTTCATTATTTGACAAAATTTAACTAATATTCATTCCTTTCACATTGTGAACTGATAACAACAGTATATAGAAGTTTAAAGATGCTGGTTTGACAAGTAGTGTTCATCTTCAACAACATAGATATTGCACATAGTACATAACCCCTATTCACTCTATCTACATTGTAATATCTGTCTGACTCTATATTTAGACTATGGGCAGAAATACGATATTCACACATATATATATATATATATAAGATTTATAAATTGCAATATACGGAAAGTATTTGCTTTAAGCACAAAAAGACCTTTTAATAATAAAAAAACAACAACAAAAACAACATACACCTCTTGTTTTTAACGTGGACCCATGCATGATAGATCTGTAAAATTAACATCTAAGAATGATTTCAAACATATGTAAAGTAACACTTTCAATTTTCATCTTTGTCTGCAAGTATTTTCAATATAACATCAACTACTATCAGAATTCAATATAAAGTATACGAGTTATTTTCACCATCAGAATCTAATGCATTCTGTGTTATATTTTTCAAAAGCGTAGACAACAAAGTTGTGATTGGTTAAAAACGTCCGAAACAATGGAAATTCAAGCAATGATGTGACGTTATTTACATTTTGTGGGACGAACAATGCAATTACCGAATTACATAATAGATGGTCTGGATGCGGGGGTCCTTCATTTCTGTATTCTTTGATTTTTTTCTCTATTCTAATCTTTATAATTTTGGTCCATTTTTCTCTATTCTTTATATTTTAGCCCCCTTTATTCTCTAATCTTTATTTTGTTGGTCCATTTTTCTTATTTTTTTGGTCCATTTTTCTCTATTCTTTGTATTTTTTACCCATTATTCTCTATTCTGGTAACCCCCATCCAGACCATTATAATATAGATAATATGTAAATGATTATAAAAAGTTACGTGTATTTCATGCATTTTCTCTGTATCACTCTATTTGTACGTTTTTTCTATAATTTTATGTCTAACTTATTAGTATTGATTTATATATGATAGTTTTCGTTCTTTTTTTTTTGATAATCTAATTTAAAAGAAATTCGCACTGATTTTTTTATAAATATAGCTAACAGTTTATATCGGTTTGTCAAGATTAATATCTGTTTATATTAAATATGTATTGCAATATTTGTAGAATTAGTCTTTTTTTTATAATAATTATCAACTTTTGTGAATTTAAAATTCGAATGTTCCTCTACTGCTATAACTGTTAGTGTATTGAATTGCATGAAATGAAAGATTTCCCTCTGGATATTTTACGTATATTAAGGACTACATAAAAATAAGAATTAACCTCAGTTTTACCCGGAATATAATGAATGACAGCTAATTTGTCAATCGTATTTCGGCCAGTGTATCAATCATCAAGTTATAGAATATCCCCACAGTTTCCGTGACCAGTGGTGCGTCAATCCTAGATACTGGGCGATTGGATAACAATTTCATGACAACCGGTGTATAAAAACCTCGGTCAGTACCAAAACGCGCAATCTCCTGAAGTGTCTTCTGCTCAGTAATAGGGGGTTCATTCTAACATCATGCAGAAATTACTGTTTTTACTGGTTCCCTGTGTACTAGCAGTAGTACTCGTCAATGGTTATACAGGATTCGGTGGTGCAGCTGGAGTCGGTGGTGGTGCAGCTGGGGTCGGTGGCGGTGCAGCTGGATTCGGTGGCGGTCACGCTGGAGGCTATTACGGCGGTGGAGGACAAACTGTTAGTCAAGGTTACCCATTGAAGACATATCAGAACGTCGTTCATACTTTAAATGAAAGAAATCGTTTAGCCTACGACCAATATCTTATTGGAAGTTACAGAAACCCTAACAAATGGTCATTCATTGGTAAATATACTTAATAATTATGTACAATTCGTCTGCATAAATTTCGTAAAAATCAGAGTAATATTATAAAAACGAGTAATTAATGACTCTTTCATTATTGTTTTTTTCTGATATTGCTTGATTTTCATTATACTTTTCAAAAGATGCAAACTAGAACATCAATTTTTTGTTCCTCTTTATTTTGACAATTGATGTCACCTCCCATGATGCAACATTTGTTCCTCTTTATTTTTATACTAAGTCTTGCTGTCACATTACATGAAGCAACATATTTTTCCTTTTTATTTTGACACTTGTCATCTTCCATAATGCAACACTTATTCCTCTTTATTTTAACACTTGCTGTCATCTCCCATAATGCAACATTTATTCCTCTCTATTTTAACAATTGCTGTCATCTCATAATGCACTATTATTTTTAGAGCTCAAATCTTACGCGAAAAGATCTATGCCGACTTAATTGAAAATAACACTTTTCTAAAACGCTTTTCTGGACTGACCTCATATATTTGGATTAGATTTTTTTTTTAGTTTTAAAATACAAGAAACCTTTAATTATTTTCAGGAATTTAAGAAATCAGAAATTATTTTATTATTTTTAAAAAACAAGGGACCATTAACCTCTAAACACAGCTCGTCTTGCATACGAATGAAATATTTGCCACTGGATACTTCTGAACATGACTAACTAATTATGTTTTATTCTATAGCTCCTCTTCTCCTGCTGGGACTTCTTCTTGCAAACAGAACTTCTATCGCAACAACTGGTTAAAGAGTTGAATAGACTTTGTATATATACTGCTTATTGGTAAGACCAACGTTAATTATATTTTTGTCTCAGAACTTTCAAAATAACAACTTACTTTGTAGAAAAGGGTTAATTATATTTTTTAATGTCTTTTCTACAAAAACAAAATTATGTGGTTTGATTTCCAATGAGACAACTCTCCATCAGAGACTAAATAATATAGAAATTAGCAACTAACCATTGCCTTGTATGGTTTATCAAAATGCAAATTGTACCGATTTTTTCATGATCACACAAGCGGCGATTTTTTTTCACATAAAAACGTGGTAATATATTGTCAATTTTAAGCATATATACGTGTGTTTTACGTCTGACAAGTATAATTATATATTTGTTTCCTGCCTCCTTGTAGATTTTTTTAGTTTAGGTAGGTAGATAAAATGAATTTTAATTTTTTTCTAATATTTTACATACTATGAACTTTAACGGTGCATCACCATGCATAAATGTACGGAATTTAACGGTGCTTACTCAAAAATGTCAGTAAAATGTAAAATGTGTTATAGTCGACAGGAAAAAAGTAAACACAACTATATTGTTTGTTGCCTCATTTCTAGGAATTATAAATCATGTTACACTTGATTTTACTCAAAACTTTACCTTTTTTTTATATCTACATTTTGGACATCATTCCTTACTTAAGATATACTTTAATGTAATAAGAGATTGCTGATGGATATCCCAATATGCATTAAGAGTTTCGTTAAGGAATCAACGTTTCATAAAGGATCAGTATAACTCTTTCATCATTTTTTTTCTTGAGAAGCGGGACAATTTCCAATGTCACAAATATATTTTTGTCCGTACTATTAACTCATGTATGGATATATTTCTCATATTGTCATTTATTTCTTGCAATGCAAAGAGTTTTAATAATTGATATTTATTTATTTTTTTATTGTAGGGGATTGACGGCCAGACCACACAGCACTGACATGCAAAAAAAGTGTTACAAATAAAATAAAAATACTTATTTATCTTATATATTTCGTACTATTATGGGATATCATGATCAGTTACTTGCTCAAGGTTTTTATCTAAGCCGGGCATTCAAATTTCGTTCAGAACTTTGTACAAATAACGGAAGAGATACTGCATGGCATTTAATTACACACAATCTTCTATAAAAAAAACTTCGCATCTCATGAACGCAAACAAAAATATATCTAGGTAATCATATAGAATAAAACCAAAGATAAGGTATCATGGTTGCCAATAAGACAACTATCCACCAGAGACCAACTGACGTAGAAGTTTACAACTATAGGTCACCGTACGACCTTCAACAATGAGCAAAACCCACACCTCACAGCAAACTATAAAAGTCCCCGTCATGACAAAATGAAAAACAATTCATACAAAAAAAAAAACGAGATTTGTGTAAAAAAACAAAACCCGAAAAACATATGATATACAGCAACAAACGACAGCTATTTGATTATCAGCTCCTGACTAAAGGACACACAAAATGTGGCGGGGTTAAACTTGTTTGCAGGCTCCCAACACTCCCCCCAAATCTGGGACAATGGTGTAAAGTCACAACAACATAAGAATAAACTAAAAATCAGTTGAAAAATGCTTGACTCATCAGATCGATACAAAACACTAGAACACAAAGTACCGATCTGAGAGTACTCGCAGTTACTGAAAGTTAGTTCAAAGTCAATATACATGTAACAACTAACAAAAAATCATGTATCCTAGACAAAAAACACATTGATTGTTGTCGATATCAGGTAGAAAACGATTGCCCATATTATAAAAAAAAAGGTTATTGCTTTATTAGGTTGCCTGGAGATAGGTGTTGATAAAGTTTGAATACCCTTCCTGAGCGCCTGAGGTCACACGTGATGTCCGATGATTTTGCTTGGTCAGGGTGTTATCTATGTTTCATAGACTTATGGTTTGAGATTGTACCCTTGCAATCTTCTTACTTTTCTGAGCCAAGATAAAGATAACCAGTTTGTTCGAAGTACAATGATTTAATGAAATCACAAAGGTACTTTAGAACGCAGTTACAAAATTTTATCTATATAAAGAAGAATATTCATTTTTAAAATAAGGGATCTCAGTGTGACATTCACATAAATATACACAAAAATTACACTATCTGATTTCTTAACTCATTTTCACATTGACATGAAATGTTTTAAAACTGTTTACACAATTTACATATAGATGTATAATTATGTGCATGTGTGTGTTTTGCGGAAATGTCGGAATCATCTGTTCACTCTTTCGACCAATCTGTCAGTAATCTTTGTTTATAAGAAAAACTGATCCAATACATCGCTTAGCATATTTTAGTGAAACTTCAACGTGAATTTCAAATAGTTAGGGGACAAGTATTAAATATTGAAGGGGCAGGAGTTTTTTTTTTTCTTTTTTTTTACGGTATAATTATTTTCGCCTTTTTCATCCTGTTTTGGGAAAAAATATTTGTTCAGTTCTAACAAAGCCAGAATTTTCATTTAAAAATTCCTCAATGGGATATCAATTTGCTTGGATTTGGTGGGTAAAGTTGAACCACGAATTTAAATGTTTAACGAAGTAAATATTTTATGAAGACTATGATAAAACCACGAAATTAAATATTCACGAGAAAACAATTAACATCTATGAACAAAAATTGTTACCCACGAAAATAAGAATCCACCCTACTTTTCGATTGAAAAGTTTGATGAAATAGAAAAACAAATAAAATTCTCGATAGGATTATCCAATGTGGGATAAATAAAACATGAAGAGGTATTTGAGAAATCTTTCAAACAAGAAACTAAACACCGAGAGTAAAACGTAGACAATCATATCTGTTCAACATCTCAGCTGACGTAGAATTTTGTTATGCTTCTTTTTATAATTTTGTTGGGTTGTAAAAGCGTTGACCGAAGCGCAATTTGTAAGAAGCGCGAAAACACTTCATATCAAAAATGTGGGCACGATAAACGCTTCAACAACCCTATAAATTTATAAAATGAATCAATTATGTTGGAGTGCCCGCGATTGTTGTCACCTATCTAAAGTTACAGATTCTAATGAAACATACATGTAATGTATTTATAAAGGAATAAATAATTGTTTACCATCCACGTGAAACTATATTTCATTTTTTTTCTCAAAAAAAAATCAAGGAAAATAAAGTTTATGTTATTCTTAAATGTTCGACTTACCGCAACTGTCTGTTGATAGACTGCATCTTATACTTGTTTATTGTGCATGAATTCCAAATCTAACATGAATTCCCAAATTTTCTGGTAAAGAATTAATCAAAAATAAAACTAAATCCGATCATAGATACACTGATTGCATGTACCAGTCCATCTGGCTAGAAACACAACTTTTTTTTTATCGAAAAGGAAATGACTATTTTCAAATGACCAGGTCATTTCGTAAAATTACAGAAAGTTATTTATCGCTGTAAAGTTACATGTACTTTTTGCCCAAAAACATAAAATCATACTTTTATGTTATTACAAAGTGTGTTTGTATATACCTGCTTTCAATATAGTATATCTCTCAAAGGAAAACACGGATGAGCAATTATAAAAATGACCAAAATAATAATGAAAATTATATGACATACTTTGTAGGAGCATGTGGTTTTTTTTTCTTCTGAAAAACTATTTTTTCCGACTTTAATAAAAAAAAAAAAAAAAATCTTTTCTTTTTCCAATAACATACAGGAACAAAAATATTTGTTTTAAGGTTTCCTCTTAATATGATACAGAAATTTATATGCAATGGGAGGTAACTAAGATCCGAGCTTTAATTTGAAATTTGATATATAAAGGGAGGTAACTCATATGATTTAAAGTTTTGATGATTGATAGATTTGTCCAGTGGATTTTGTATTGGGGTCTACTCATAGAGAAAACGAGAAAGAAGAACCCAATTTGTGATATATATTTTTTTTAGAAACGTCTCAGAAATTTAACTCTTGCGTATTTACCCTTTTTTTAAGGCACCGACATTCATTCTTTGTGGAGAGGAGAGTGGCATGAATACATGTTTTTTTTTAACTTTTATAATGAATAGACGACAATTGTCGTTACACACAAACTATTGCTTTCGCTTCCTTTCGGAAACAATTTTTTTTATTTTCAAGAATTTAAGAAACAACCAATTAATTATTAAAACAAAAAATCTTAACATATGTCGATCCCCTTTTTGGACGGCCTTAGAACAACGGTAGCGGTTATTTATAGGATAACACCAAAGGACGTTTGAGACAAAATCTTATTCCCCAGTTTGTTGTGTTATAAATGGCCATACCATTATATCTTTCATAGGTAGAGATATCAAAGCTACTATTTCAAGTTGAATACAATAGAAAGCCCTGACGATAAAACACGAAAAAAAAACAATACGCGATTCCGTCCATTCATTGTCTAAAAAAATGTGTCTAACACATTTAATATCATGTATTATGATGACCTAGCTATTTGAATGAAATATTTTGCTACAATATTTCTATATAGTAAAATTAGTTGATTTTATCATATTACAGACCGTGTGGTTTAAATTTTATCAGATGGCCTCATTTCAACACCTGTTATAATTAACACGCACATTTTATTGAATACAAACTAATTGAAATAATTATGTTCGTAATTAAAATTTTAACTGTTGATCCGGCGTTTGTTTTGTCAAGCATAGAAACATAAATTTGCTCTTATTATTGCTAAAACCTTCCTATAACACGTCTTTTTTTAAAATAAGGAATGTTATAATGCATTTGAACTGGGGTCTTCGCCAAATTTTATTAAATGTTGGCTAGATTAAGATGAACGCACTAAATAAACATGTGTTAACTGATACTCAATTTCTTCTAAAATGTTATCCAAGTAGAGAAATGCCAGCTTTAACACCTACTACATAAATAAATAAAAAAGAATAAACAAACAAACAAACACAAATGAAACAACCCATGCCAATTAATTTGCACACTCAAACAAAGCTGTCACGCTGTCTGGAACCTCAAGAACCCTTACAACAAAATCTATTGTACTGCTTATTGGTAATTTGTTCTCATCCTGAACATGTATGAAATATTAGCCACTAGACGTTAAGCAAACAACAATCAATCATTCAACTGTTTTTCCCTGGGGATGTTGTCACCACTAAAAATAGCATTCGAAAATGACTTCAAGTAGTGTCTTGAACCTAATTATTTCTTGAATTAAGGAATGTGCTATACAGTGGTGGATTAAGTGAGAGGCGTAAAGGGCGTTCCCTCAACCTTTAGGTCGGAAAAATATCTTTTTTTGGCATAAAACTTCAAAAGATATTTTGCCTCGCTACGTACGGCATTTTTGTTACTATTACGTTACAATTGGCTGTTTCAGAATCTAAAGGATTGTGGGTAATTTCATTGTTCGTACCCCAAAATGAAAACAACGTCACATTATTGGTTGAATTTCCATTGTTTGGGACGTTATGAGCCAATCGCAGGGTTTTGGTGTACACTTTTGAAAATATTACCCAGAATGCATTAGATTCTGAAACGCCGTTTCAGAATCAAAAGGATTGTGGGTAATTTCATTGTTCGTACACTAAAATGAAAATTACGTCATATCATTGTATTTGACGTTTTAAGCAAATTTTTTTAAGATAAGGAATTATTATGTTATAATGCATTTGAACTGGGGTTTTCGCCAAAAAATTTAGATGTTAGGCTTGATTAAGATGAACGAACTAAATAAACATGTGTTGATACTCAATTTCATCGGCTTCTAAAATGTTATACAAGTAGAGAAAATTAATACCAGCTTTAACACCACCTACATAAATGAATAAAAAAGAATAAACAAACAAACACAAATGAAACAATACCATGCCAATTAATTTGCACACTCAAACAAAGCTGCCACGCTCTCTAGACGTTAAGAACCCTTACAACAAAATATTTAAGGGGGTCCGCAGGTGGTCTGTTGTAGAGCTAAATGTATGTCCCTATCCAGTCTACAATCATTTTCCAGTGGCATTTCAAATTCCGCACTTAATCCCGGTCGACCCCTATTACAGGACCTACCTATTGTACTGATTATTGTTAATTTGTTCTCATCCTGATAATGCGTGAAATACTTGCCACTGGATGTTAAGCAAACAATAATCAATCATTACTATCATGGACAATTATGCCTCCTACCGGTTCATCGAAACATGGACCGGTCCTGCTATGAACAACATGATATGCCCGTAATATATCGACATGACGATCTCTAAAAAAGTTATTATTGGTAAATATTGTCTATGAATACAGATTGTGCGTGACACTGTAAAGCGTCTGGCAGTGATTTGTTTTCATGTACCATATAAAAGTACAAATTTGACCCTCTAACTCCCTTATAGCAAGAAAACCTTAAAACATGGCATTATGCATACAAGAAATCCTTTTGCATCCATCGTCTGTCAGCCAAATTGATTGAAAATAGAAAATCCATGTTTCCTATACGTGTTATTCAGACCTTACCTCAAGAAAACTTAAATCTATACATACTCTTACAAGTAACCAACATAACAAATAGCGTTGGTTTAAACCGCTGCAATTGTTTGCACCTATCCTAAGTCAGGAATCTGATGTTCAGTAGTTGTCGTTTGTTGATGTGGATCATAAGTGTTTCTCGTTTCTCGATTTTTATATAGATTAGACCGTTGGTTTTCCCGTTTGAATGGTTTTACACTAGTAATTTTTGGGGCCCTTTATAGCTTGCTGTTCGGTGTGAGCCAAGGCTTCGTGTTGAAGGCCGTACTTTGACCTATAATGGTTTACTTTTATAAATTTTGACTTGGATGGAGAGTTGTCTCATTGGCACTTATACCACATCTTCTTATATCTATTGGCGTATCATGTACATTTATCGAGACCAGTGGCTATTTGTTGAGGTCAAGGCCAAATGGCAAGTAAAACAGACATATATATAGTTATTAGGAAATATGCCCAATCTTTGCTGATCATATTTGCCATTTACGGTTTCTCTTTATCTAAGTAATTTGCACAAAAATATATAAACTGGTAGACCTCATCATTCAAGAGCAAACTAACTCCAAAAAGGAGTCAACTGATGATTTCGACCGTGTAGACTAACTTCTAAATCGACTAATTTGCAGATCTTGTTCTGTTTAAGCTTTTTACAGTTTCTCTCTATCTACTATAAATAGTTTCCGCAAAATATCACAAACATAGGTAAAATCGTCATACACGGGCAATCACTCCTTTAAAAAGGAGTCGACTGACGATTTCGCCCATGATGACTCTTTGAAGACCTCGTTCGAATGATCATTTTTTGCAATTTACAGTTTCCTTATCTTTAATAGTTTTCGAGATAATATATATAGCCGAAATTGCGAAAGTGGTTCGAATCGTCATTTATGGGCAACAATTCTTCAAAAGAGTAGTCAGTGACAGTTTTGGTAAAAGTGGACAGTAGGTAGATCTTGACATTCTGAACATTATTTCCCCATTAGATATAACGGTTTACAAGATAATGCACAATACCAACCATTTACCCCCCATGTCCCATTTTAGGGTTGGCAGGCAGAATCATCGGACACATGTTTTAGATAGTCCAAAGATGATTGTGGTCCAATTTGGTTTCAATTGGCCATATAGTTTCAGATGAGAAGATTTTGTAAAAGTTAACGGACGACGGATGACGGACGACAGGCGCCAAGTAAAGGTAAAGTGAAAAGCTCCCAGAGCCCTGTGGACCGAGTGAGCTAAAAGTGGTTATCGTTCTATATTCTCAGTCGAGTTTCAGTGAAATAACAGATCGTAAATCTAGAATAAATGCTTTATTTAGTATAACATGTGTATCATATGGAGTCAAGAAGTTTATTCATAACATTAAATCACTTCGATATTTCACTTTTAAGAAAAAAATCCATGGGCACTTATGAATTGACTTAACAATCGCATGTTTCTTGACATGAAGCCAAACAATGACAGTCATAACTTCGTTCTTATGTACGTCTCAAACATATAGCTTAACTGGCTTAACATACACATCTTATAAACGGACTGGAAAAGCTCGAATAATTTTATATTCACATTCTCAAGTTAGCCCTGTGTAACTGTGAAAGCTTAGATTTTTATGCATCAGCTAGGCTTTATACAGTATAAAACCCAAGCCAGGTCAAGTCAGAACAGGGACATATATTCCGATTGACACTTCCAAGTTTAGAAATTTAAAAAAACGTCTTCTCGTGGGAGATGCTTGAGATGCATGCTGCAAAGCATAATTTCTTACCTCAACCAACATGCCTTCTTTTTGTTCCAGTAACAATCAAACAATTAATCTATCTGATACACTGAAATCCAATTTATTTTCGTATAAAGTTTGCTTTTCGTCTAGAATATGCATGAAATATATGTATGCCCCTGGCTAATTAGTCCGTGAGGCGTCCAGAAAATGTGAAAAGAAGTGAAACTACCCTTTTAATACATATTCCTAAAGGTCGATGTACACGCCTTACATCTTATATATCTTCTTGAAAGCGTTAAGGCGATATTAAATTGTACATACTAAGTTCTACAAGAAGGTCGGAGTATATGTTTTTACTAATAATCGCCGACCAAGAGATTTGAAACATCTGATTACTTTGTCTGATCTCAATTCAAAGTTATATAAATAAGTTATAAGAATAAAACATCAATACCAATTGCCATCGACATCGTAAAATCGAGCCCCGCGGAAGGACTGTGATAAACTTTACACCGGTCGGGAATAATTATGGTTTTGTTTTAATGAATAACTGCTAGTCGCATAATTTGAAGATCTTTTCACTAACATTTTAAGATGTTTTTTTTTCTACAGCTGCGATAACAATCTTTCGGGTATAATTATTAACTATCTACATATATCACATTGGACGAGGCCTGCAGACGGTGGTTCACCAACCTACGGCTGTAAATAACAATAGGTTTAAGTTTGACTAAAATATGGAAAATCGTCTTGATGATATATTCATGGGCGTGACCCCAAGTCTTTTGAGTGGATTTTCCGGTGTATCGATTGGTAGATCGCAAATGTCTTTCATCTCCTGGACATCCTCCATATCACATTTCACGCCCTCTAACATGTCCTTGTGTTCTTCATAACTTCTTTTTAATTTTAACTGATTAATATCCTGTCGCAATGTTAATAATGTTCGTGCTAATTCTTGGTCTTGTGATCTCATTTCATGCTAAAAAATAAAATAACTGGTTTTACTAATAAATTTATAAAGCATATTGTATTAATAAATTACATAACATATAAATGCATAGTTTGTATCTTGGGTTATGTATATCATTTACAATATAGTGGTGAAGATGGGGTTGATTGAAAAGTGGGGGGGGGGGGGGGGGCAAAATACTGAAAGTAACAAGAAAAAAACCCATTTTATGGTATGATAGTCTAGAAGTTAGCCAGTGTTCTCATTAATTTTCATTTCTTTTATCTTCATATTTGGTTTGCCAAAAACGTGTATGTGTGTGTAATTGGTGGGGTGGGGGTTAACAACACACTCCTATTGTTATACAACTGAAATTCATTTCATTTCAGACAAATGCAAAGGTTTTAATGTAAAGCTTCGATTTCTAAGTAGTTTCCCATTATACCAGATAGTGGATTTTTCCTTTTGTTCCTGTCTTTTTAGATGACAAATTTTATTCGATATGGACTTCGGCACTGACAAATTAAAACAGTGGCTATTTAATACTAATAAACATTCAAATTACTAGTATTTTGTACGTTTTTCCTATTGTTTACTTTCCAAAATTCAAACATTCAATCAGCATCTGCATTTTGGGTATCATCCCTATATACATTTTCTCAAAAAGTGTGCTTCTTAACCGGCAAGTGGTTGTTGCTTACTAGGAAGCTACTTAGGGAAAAATTCCTTATGGTAAAGTGCACTAGGACTACAGTAACAAATGACATGCACCTACGTTAAGCTCATTTTTTAGAATGGGGTTTGTATTTAATGGTTTCTTTTTTCTCTTTAATCTTGAATTATAGGATTTTAGCAAGGTAGATTCAAATTAAGTGTTCATAATATATCCGTGTACATTTTTGTCAACGTTTCATCTCTAATGACTTTATGATACAATGTTTTAGTGATCTAACAAAACAAGACCAAAATACCTAATTTAATTATTGACTGTGTATGAAATAAACGCTAAAATACGACACAGTTGAGGATTACATAAAGAGAGTTGTGTGACATTAGGAAAATAAACGTCTGAATATTTATGAATTCCAGTCGTTTAAATGATTTGTAATTATCATGTATAAAAGCTATCAATTTTATGTTTGAACTTGCACTTTTGACTGAGTAATTATGAAGCATTGTTTTACATATGACGAAAATGCGTGGTTAAGGCAGTACACAATTTGTCATTTTGTTTACGTTTATAATGCATGTAATGGTGTGGAATGCTTCTTTTTATACACATGTATGATACATGGAAATGAATCTTCATCTATCTGTTAAAAGTACACGTAGTTTTTTTTATTATAGCTGTATTTTATATTCCTGCATATTTGCAAATAAAAACATGTACTCAAGTTTTTGATATCCCTTTCCAAACTAAAGAGTCATTTTATTTCATATTCTTTACTCTTATTCCATTTTTTCTCTATATATTTATTGTGTATGCCTTTTGACTTTTTTCTCTATTCTGTAAACCACACCCAGACCTTTGTCGTTTTCTGGTACACCATTTATACATATAAATGCAAAAGAAAAGGCAGATTTGATGTTTTCTTTCAAAAAACATGTAGTGGAGTTTGAATTTGACACAAAGATTGTATATTCATGAGGGTCTGGATAGTTGAGGTCCTTCATTTTCGTATTATTTATTTTTAGACCCTTTTTCTTTATTCTTTATAAATGTTGTCCATTAATCTCCATTCTTTATATTTTATCCCTCCATTATTCTCTACTCTTTATTTTCTTTTGCCCATTTTTCTCTTTTCTTTCTTTTCTTTTTTTTGCCTATTGTTCTGCACGTTTTGCTCATTATTCTCTATTCTGTAAACCCCATCCATACCCTCCATCATGGCGTTAAAGAGCTTGACATGTTGTATAGTTATGTTTCTATCTTTGTTGAAGACCGAATGTTGACTTGTAGTTGTATTGTTTGTTTCCTACATTATGTTCTTTAATCAGTTATACAACACAGACTATGAGGAGTAAGCTAAGATATGATTTAACAAAATCAACATAAATTTAAACAAACGGTTACAAAACACTTAATTTGTAGTTCGAATCAGTTATAGCTCTGGATGCTGAACAAAGTAATCTGATTGAAACGGGTGGTCACTAGAACCCTGTTTTATTATTTCAATAAGTTAATTTTTCATTTAAACTGTGAATGTGGACAACTTGTTTAAATGTTATAATTGTCTATTGAAATATCTTAAAAAATAAAAGACAGTTCTGATAATCAACAGTGACAAGAACAAAATTAATGACATCGCAAGCCTTCACTGGTCAAGACACATATTCCTTAATGGTTGAAACATGTTCGTTACACCTTCCCATGACCACCTTTTTTGAAATAATGGCAAAATTTGATTGTATACAGTTGAATAAAAACATAAAAGAAACTTACAAGTTCCTCCCGTAGCCAGTCCAAAGCTTGATTAATTTTTTCTTTACGTTCTACAGTTAAAGTATCCGTTCCACTTAAATCGGGGTCTGTCACCAGTTCTGGTTTCGACCGACGTCTTGATCGGTTCATATATTTTTCCTGCCACTCAATGAAACTAGGTCTTCTAGTTCCCAAGTTTAGTCGGTGTGCGGTATTTTTTAATCGGGACAAATCGGACTCACTTCCGGATTTTCCCGAATCACAACCGAACTGAAACGAGTCACTGTGTTTCTTTATCAGATCACTACCTGGTTTTAATGTATCTCCTTCTGAGTGAAAAGTAGATAAAAGTCCATTTAATGAACTAAATCGTTCGTTTCTGTTCTGATCTAGATCGTCACAACTTGAAACTTTAATGGCTGGTATAACGAAATCATCGTCACTTCCCTTTTCATCGATAACAGACAATGAAGGTCGACGATATTCTTTCATGTTTGAAGATTCCTTTCTGTTCGATGACTGTGCATGTAACATCGAAAATGATCATCTTTTAACAACAGCAAACGGCTTCATTGCTTAGAGATTAGATAACAATCAATAAGTCTGCAAGAGAAACAATAAACAGAAATGAAAATAGAAGTTAGGGGAGTGGATCAATTATCTTATAGACAAAAATAAAAATTGTAGCAAATTATACAACCAGTAATGTGTGACTACTAGTATTTACTTTCCATTGCACGATTAATCCAAGAATTATCACAGTTGTCTGAAATAAAAGACAAACGAAAACGGAATGACATTGCATTCCGTCCTCTTTTCCCGAATGTGACCTCCCGAATTAGACTTATTACCGGGTTTTTTATATGAGCAATACGACAGGTGAAACATGTGGAGCAGAATTTGTTTACCCTTCCTGGGATTACCCCAGTTTTTAGTGGGTTTCGTGATGCTCAGTCTTTAGTTTTCTATGTCGTATTTTGTGTACTTTTGTTGGTCTTTTTCTTTTTTAGTCATGACGTTGTCAGTTTACTTTCAACTTATGAGTTTGAATGTCCCTCTGGTACTTTTGCCTCTCTTGTACAATAAGTGAAATTCATTATTTAAAAGATTTTGACATTAATTAGAAAAAGTAAAAAGAGGAGTTGTTTCTAGCCTGCTGAACAATAACAATATACTGGCAAACCGTCTTGGTCATTTAGTATTTTCGATATTTGCTCTTTACAATATATACAGATAGTAAAAGAGAGGCGAAATATACCAAAGGGACATTCAAACGCATAAGTTGAAAATAAACTGGCAACGTCATGGCTAAAAAAAGGAAAAGATTAACAAACTAACTAAATGTACACAAAACACAACATAGAAAACTAAAGACTCATACGTGAGTAAGACGGTGATGTTTAAAACTCGTGAAATATTTGAACGATATGCATTTATTTGAAGTTCGGAATATTTGAAACTGTGAATACACCAAAACATTGACAAGTTTGAATGATTCGCGAAGCATGATCTAAAATAGAAAGTATTACAAAAAGGCGAAAAGACATGCAGTGCAATTCATTATCATGCAGTTATATTTACATTTTGTGCATTTCAAATTACATAATCAGGTGTGAAATGAGAAATCTTTAACATAGATGATCTGATTTTGTTAAGTCAGGGGATATCTTTAAAGTATCAATGATAACAAAGATAACATTTAACTCCACCCTTTATATATATTCTATGTTTTCTTGCATGTTCCCTATCACCACGTTAGAATACCTCTGGAAGTTTATTATCGAATTAAAAAGAAGTAGAAGCAGATTATGTATCTTTAAATTACGTCTGAGAGAGAGAGAGAGAGATGGCGAGTTTGTGATTTAAAAAGAGGCCTGTGGAGGGCCCACAAAAACAGTCAGTAAAAAATCAGAAAAATACATCAAACAATTTAGGCTATCAAGTAGACACTCAGGACCCCTTCTCGGTTCTACCTTTTGGAAGACTGTCCAAAATATTCAAAACGCAGAACAGACGAACGAACTTCTTTTTAAAAACGACTGGTCCTTTTGTTGTGATGCCATTTATCAATGATCAACTAAGTTATTACATTGCAAGACCTGTGGTCTATTTTATTTTGAAAAGGCTTCCATTGTAGGTCTTATAAGTTGTTGGCGGAATGAGAATTTCCATATATGAAAAGGCGGGTTTGGGGTTCAAAAGTTGTAGTACCCTTAATGTGAACATTGAGAGGTATGAAATTCTGAAACTGTAAGATATTTCAACATAACTTTAACTCTGGTCAAAAACAAGCATATGCTTAAAAGATATCTAAGTGCTCAAATCCTAATGTTTATTCTTCTTTTGTAAACGACCTGTTTACTAAATAAATAAGAAAACGAAAAGGGCAGTATGTTCTAGCATTATGAACAGTAACACTTTACTGGAACTCCATCTCCATCATTTAATATTTTTCGATATTTGCACTCTATAATACATACATTGCATACAGATAGTCATTGTGATGATTAAGACGTTGATGTTTAGAACCCATTAAATATTTGGACGCTGTTTCTTCATTTGTAGATCGGAATATTTGTAAATGTAGATACAGCAACATATTGACAAGTTTGAATGATCTAAAATAGCATACGTTTTGCAAAAAATCGAATAGACATGCAGTGTTACTCATTATCATGCAGTTATTTTTATACATTTTGTACGTTTCAAATTACATTATCAGGTGTGACGTGTGTGAAATGAGAAATCTTGATAATATGTTAATATGACAATATGTAAATAATGTGAATTTGTTTGAACAATTGATATAAAAAAAAGTATCAATGATAACATGAATAACATTCAATTCAACATTTAATATATTTTATATTTTTGAATTATCCGTCTGAGAGAGAGAATGAGAGACAGCAGTGGCGGATTGTGATGTTCAAAGAAGGAGACAGGTCCAACGAAAAAAGGAACTTTCCCCAAAAAAGTAAATAAAAGAATAAAAGATTTTGGTCATTTCATTTCGGAGAATCTTAACACCCTTCCCGAATCCGCTCCTTCAGAGTCTAATATATGCAACTTGCAGAGCAAATGTACGAATTTCTTCCTAAAAATTTACTGGTCCTTTTTTGTTGTTCTGTTTGCCATTGTAAATAAGTTATTACAATAAAAGACCATCGGTATTAATTTCATAATTTGGAATTATATCCTTTTGAGTTCTCATCTGCTGTTGACGGAATAAAAGTGGACGTATATACGAAAAGGTGGACTTGTGATCAAAAGGAAATCTTAACCTTAATTTGAACATGAAGGGGTCTGAAATTCTGAAACTGTATGATATTAACACAACCAAAACTTTGGTCAAAAACTAGTTTCTGCGTAATGCATAGTCATAATGTAGAATCGTATTTTATTAATGACATGGTGCGATTGTTTTTATCAGTAAAAGAATATGAAAAGTACAGAGTGGGTATTTTTAAACTGCTGAACAACACAAATATATTATCTTAATCATTGAATATTCTCGATATTTTCTCCTTACAATATATATGAATATGATGGCGATGTTTAAAACCCGTGTAAAATTTCGACTTTGCCTTCATTTGCAGGTCGGAGTTTTTGTAACTGTATATACAGTAATAAAAATATTTACAAGTTTGAATGATCTATATAATAGCAAGTATTACAAAAAAGATAAAACGCATGCAATTTCATTCATTATCATGCAGTTACATTAATATTTTGTGCATTTCTAATTACATAATCAGGTGTGAAATTAGAAATCTTGAAAATATGAAGATGATCTGATTTGGTTAAGTCAGGTAATATCTTTAAAGTATCAATGATAACACGGATAATATTTTACTCGTCTTTTTATATATGTTATGCTTTTTAAATTTTCAGATCTCCGATGAAATCATAAGTCAATGTTAAAATATCTTAACAACTTCACTTTCACCACGTTAAAATACCTTTGAAAGTGTGTTATCCACTTACGAAGAAACTGAGTCATTTTGGCATTCCGGAGAGATGGAAAGCGAAGAGAGAGAACGAGCTATGACGTATCCAGGATTTTTAAAATGGGAAAGACTCCCAAAAAAAAGACGCCCGCAAATTAGAAATTCAAAAATCGACTAAAATCACATATTTTCGGTCAGTAAGGAGAGTCTGACCATAGGCATCCCTTCCCGAATTCGCCAATTGGGTGACATTGTTTATAGAATAAATGATTAATAAAATTAGTACATTGCAAACCCTGTGGTATATCCTTATTGAAAAGACTTCCATTTTGGACTATAATCTACTGAAGACGGAGTGAGAATAGCCATATATAAAAGTTTAGATTTTGGATATCTAGGTACCTATTGTTTGAACATTCAGGGGTCTGAAATTCGGAAATTATATATATAAACACAACGATTTCAACTTTAGTCAAAAACTAGTATTATGCATAATAGATATCCAAGTGCATCGAATTATGATGTATAATATTATTTTATAAATGATCTGTGGTGTTTGTTCTTTTTATCAGTTTGTACTAAATAAATAAGAAACAGAAAGGAAAGGTATGTTTTAACAATACTGGTAAGCAAAGTAACAAAAATACCGAACTCCAAGGAAAATTTAAAACGGAAAGTCCCTTATTAAATGGCAAAATCAAAAGCTCAAACACATCAAACGAATGGAAAACAACTGTCATACTCCTAACTTGGTACAGACATTTCCTTGTGTAGAAAATGGTTGATTAAACCTGGTTTTATAGCTGGAGTTATTACATTGCAATATGAACACTATACTGGCACTCCGTCTTCGTCATTTAGTATCTTTGATATTTGCTCTTTACAAAATATACAGATGATCATTATGATGATTAAGACGTTGTAGTTTAAACCTCGTGAAGTATTTGGACGATGTACCTATATTTGCAGATCGAAATATCTGTAACTGTAGATACCGCAAAATATTGACAAGTTTGAATGATCTAAAACAGAAAGTATTGCTAAAAAGCCAATATACATGCAGTAATATTCATTATCATGCAGTTATATTTATATTTTGTACTTTTCGAATTACATAATCAGATGTGAATGAGAAATCTTGAAAATATGCAGATTGTCTGATTGTGTTGAAACAGTTGATATATTAAAGGTGTCAATGATAACATGGAAAACATTCCATCCCACTCTTTATAGTTCTTTTTTTTTCAATTGTCCAAGTTCAAATTTAAAATTGCCGATGAAATCCCAATTTAATATTTAAAGACTTCTTACAACTCCCCTTTCACCACGTTAGAGAGAGAGAGAGAGAGAGAGAGAGAGCAGTGGCGTATCCAGGATTTTTAAGAAGGAAAAGACTCCCCGATAAAATAAGGCAACCGCCAGTTAAAATTCCGAAAATCTACTAAAACCACACATTTCGGCAATGAAGGAGTTCCTTCCCTTATTCACCCATTAGGTGACATAGTCTATAAAATATTCTAAATGACCTACCACTAGTGGCTCTTACTTAACTGACCTAATCACAAACTAATACATGTGCAGTTAGCAACAGTTTCAAAGTCAATGAACCATGACTGAGTGGGTGGGCCAAATCATCTCCATGGAAATGAAATGTGC